ACGGAGTTCATGGTGTAGATCCATCAATGAAAACCATCAATGCGTTCAGTACTCTGACAATCTCAAAGCTCGTGCACGTACAGAAGCTGGAATCACGAAGAAGACCTGCCTCTGCAACTTCTGTGGTGCTTGCCGTTGCTCCAGCACTCTGGGAGGAGGCATGGCTCATCGCAGAAGCCACTACACGGTGACCAACTGGAAGTTCGAGACCAGAAGTTAGGGGACCAGAAGCTAGAAAAAAACATTGGAGGTTCCAGCTCAAAGCTAAACGAGAACACAAAAAAGACATTGTTAGGATGTAGAGCTGTTGGGTTCTGGGCCAGGACAGACAGCCTACCTCCAGGTGCATAAATAGTGGGACAAGACAGGAGAAATGGCCCCTTTTATGCTCCAACATGGTCTGGAGGCTTCAATTTCCAGGAAACTCCGGTCTACGTAGAAAATCTAAAGTTTTGGCTGTTACAATCTTAAAGCTGATCTGTGTTTCTGTCTGGAGTTGTATTCAGCTCTATTCAAAAAATCAGCGCAGATGACCAGTAGTAGCAGTCGGAGGAGGGGTAGGGGTAAGGGTAGGGGTAGGGGTAGGGGCAGGGGTAGGGGTAGGGGTGGTAGTAGTAGTAGTAGTAGTAGTAAGGGGTAGGAGGAGGAGTAGCAACCACATGAACAATAACAGTCATCGCGGTAGCATTAAAGGCACTAGCAATGGCTCAGTAGTCATAACCCGCAAAGAGGGACTCGCTACGCTTGCAACTCGCTCGGGCTTCTGAAGACCATCGGGTCGGCATAAACGATTTCAGTATTTGGGGCTGTCGAAGGGAAATGGAGGCTTAAGATGTACACATTGACATGTACCAGGGATACATAGGGTCATATAGAGGTATACAGGGTGCAAACCTCTGAATCCTTTTCAGCAATTCAGCGTAGCTCTTGTGCCCATGGCGGCTGCCAGTGGGGCCTCACACATCCTGGGGCCAGGGTCAACTGAGCAATGCGCAGGCAAGCAATAATAACTGAATTCTTAGTCGGGGGCAAACTTGGGAACCTGCGGTCTGGATCAGATGGAGGCTGTGTTGAGTACCTACCGGTTGAATGGTGTCAGACAGCCATAATACTGCCCGAACTTCATGACATCGATTTTGCCAGGAGGAAACGGAAAGACGCCCTCCCCCAGATTAGCATGGAACCCCAGAAGACAGGCCCCCTTTTGGGGCTCGACTTCATCTGGTTGATAGGCCAGATAAGGCCCTCTAGTCATGTACCACAAGCGCATGCGCACAAACAATCACAGACTCAATGTGTGACAGCTCAAAAAGTCGGTACTGTTGATACTAGGTCCAGTTGCAACAGAACTTGTGAAAAAGGTTTACAGTTTAGTTGTAAAGGGGTTTAGGGTTCAAATTTAGGGGGGCGAAGGTGGGCTGTACTTTCTTTCAGGAATTTGTAGTCCCTCAGTTGGAGCAAGATCCATAAGATTTTATCCTGGGTCGGGGGTATGGCAGCTTATCAGAAGGGTTTAATCTTACTTGGCCCGCCAGGTGTTCTTCTCGCAAATCAAATTATGTAGTGTGAGATCATTCTTATTACGTTTTATGTTTAACCTATTGTTATTACATACGTAATCCTGTTAGTATCATCAGCCACTAGTACTTTATTGTCATGTTGCTGTTATATGACTATCATCATTTATGGTTCTATATTGTTGATGTTGTTGTTATTGCATCATGGCGATTTCCACGATCATTGCTGTTGCTGCTTGCCCTAGCTACCTTTACTGCTTGGCTTACTGTTGCTGTTTCCATGCAAATACCGGAATGCACAAGGTAGAAGGTGCTAAGGGTAATGCAGGATTGTTAGCATCGACCATGGTAGCTGCAGCAGGGAGTGTAAAAGGCCTCATGTCTACCGTTTCTCCCCTTGGGAATAGGACGAATGACTTCAGTTCTGTCCATTGACATCGAACAGCTCCCCCATCCTAAACCGTAGCTTCCGAGCTTTGATCACTGCCGGCAGCCAGGAACAACTCCCCTCTAAGAGGCTCCCGCGGCAAGATGAAACACTCAAAAGTAGGAGGCAGTACGCACTCTTATGTCGGACAGGCCAAACGCTGAAGTATATCATGCTCAGCTTGAGGAATGGTAACAATGCGATGACAACTCCGCCCCACGCCATCAGCCGGTGTATTCGTTTACAACTAAACCCTAAACCTGAGCCTGGGAGCCCTACCTTGATCACAACGAGGCGATCTTCCTCGCTCCAGATCCGTGGGGTCAGCTTATCCTTGGGGTTCACCACCCAGATCTGGCCAAGAGCATCAATGAAATTGTGGGGTTTGGGTTTTGGAGCCTTTTGGATTTGGGTGTTTTTTGGCGGGACCGTTTCTCCAGGGGCGAGCGGTTTAGGGTTTAGGGTTTGTTGAGTTTGAGGCTATGGGTTCAGGCTATTTAAGTTTTAGGGTGTTGGGCTTCGCCTGTAGGGTCTAAGGCTAGTTTGGGGATTCCGAGGATATTGGGATTATCAAGGAGTGGTGGGGGTGCCTACTAATGAGTCTGGAGGGTTCATGTTGAACAGCGATATCAAATGTGAAGGTGCTCCGGTTGTCGAGTTTCGCTAGATCAGGGAACCTCTAAAATCCCCAAGGATAAATTGGGATTATCCATTGACGTTTATGGGGACCCTACCAAAGAAGAGGATTGTGTGCTTCTAGAAGTGCATGATGCTGCATTCACCGCGCAACTTCCTGGACTCTAAATGCTAACTCCTAAACCTTTGTTTTTGCAACAGGCTTCAGATTCTAAACTTTAAGTCCTCAACCCTCAACCCCTGACTGACCAAACCCTGATCCTTAAACCCTGAACCCTAAACCCTTAAACGCTTTGGGGCTTCAGGTTCGAAGGGTTCGCAGCTTATCAAGCTTGACCTGCATCCTACCTGCCAGAAACAGTTAACGAGACCTGAAGGAGCAGGGGAGGGAGCGCAGGTACGAGCATGGGGAGTTTAGGAAGGAGCACAGTAGGGAAGCCTCGGGATTCTGAGCAACCGATCGCGTTTTGAGTGAAAAGGGTTTGCCTGTCCAGGCTCTGAGGATTCAGAGTTCTGAGCTCCTGAGACTATTCAGGATTATCCCTAAATTGGGGGTACCTTTTTGGGGGGTCCCCATAATGAGGATTATAGTATATTGGGGTTTGTATTGGGGTCCCCCTATTGAGGGAAACTACCATTCAGGATTTCGTGATCAAATACAAACTCTTTTGCTGGTACTGTCACCATGACTGCCACTGCAGTGAGTACCCTGGCACGTCCCTTTGAGAAAGAAGAACAACGACAGCAGCATTGAGAAAAGTCACCTGACGCCTACACCCTAGACCAAAAAATGCCTTCCGAGACTGACAAGTTCAGGCTTTGGGCCGTGCCTTGTTGCCATGGGAATCTCCTTGCTTGTCTAGGACAGGTGTTGGGTTTAGGGTTGAGGCGTTAGGGTTTAGGGATTTTGTTGTTGGGTGTGCGTTGACTTTACTAGCAGGAACTGAACCACCACGCGTATACGAATGCCACCCCCTATCCGGGACTGCTTGCTGGCACTGTTTGATCGGTTCATACAGAGACCTTGGCAGCAAAATCGTCAATGTAAGCGTCAACCCACATGCCTGCACACACTAAGAAGTGATTGTAGCGTACGTATTGCGTGAGGTAACCCGTCCATCAGGGGAATGAGGATAAAATGTCCCCCTGGCAGGAAACCTTGGTAAAATGAAGGGGTTAATTCCACACACCTGATAATCAGATAATCCAAACTTGTCCTATGTTGCGAACCATGCCTAGAGAGATTCATGAAACCGCGTTTTGATAGCCAAGAGTCTTTCCGACCACCCGATGACAACCTGGCTCTCATCCAAGGATTGAAAGCAAACCTGCCACCTCATGTGACCTTCATGAGAGCTAGGCGTCCGTTTTGAAGAGGCGGACTGTTGGGATTTCCTTGCCGAAGCCCTCTAGGGGGCTCTAATTGTAGAAGAATTGGCCCAACGCACGATACATGTTTTGACAAAGTAAGTTGAGCTTAGACTTGCTTGGAAAAGGCCTTCATGCCTCAGCAAAGAAAGATCCCCATGCGCTCTTCATCTGAATTGGGTCTCCTGTTGTCCTGACGCTTGTCAAATATGTTCGGTCCTTGCAATTGAGGCCCCGAAAGCCGACACCAAAATGCAGGGCACAGCAAACTTTACAGCCTTGTTTTTTTTTGGGAGGGGGGGGGGGGGGGGG